TAATTGGAATTTTCTCTTACAGCTTGAGCCTAAGTGTGTCGCAGGATACCCTCTAGGTGATAGTTCTTGATTACTTTTTGATAAATAATTCGTTTTTATTGCGAAATAGCACTATTTATCAATCTGTAATAAAAGACGTGAGAAAATTCTGTCTTTTTTAAAGACAACAATTTTTGAGGCAAAATACCCAAAAAGAACTTTGTAAAAAAAGTATCCATAATAATTTTAAAGCGAATTTAAATTCAAATCAGATATTGTCCGCCAAAAACGCCGAATCCGTATCGTCGGTTGCCTATCCCGATTGTGACGTAGCAGGTCATATCAACAAAGAGTCCCGCGTGTATTTTGTTGTTTTCGCAGCTTTGTTTGATTATTTAAGTTTTTGTGATTATCATTATTTTATTGATTATTATTATTATCTTGCATAATGGCAAATAGTGACATTTATGGATCACAAAATGAGTGGTCTTTTGTGCCAGGATGCAAGAATACCTCAATAAGTACTCCAAACAAACTCTTTTCAACCGTTCCCCATAATTATGCACATAAAGTTTTGGTTCAAAGCAGCTAGAAGTGATGTTCCTAAATCAAAATCAATGTTTTTTTGTTGCGAGGATCATTTTAATGAAAGTACGAACAAAAAGCTAATGATGAGGCAGACAGCAGACAGAACTGTGTTCTGAGCAAATTTAACCTTGTCAGAACACAAAGAACCCTCACGTTTCAATTCCACATATCCGATATCACCATATTGTTCTCGTGATGCCCAAAATACAAATTTAAGAGTTCATTTTACTGTTAAAGCAGCCATGTGTATAGGTTAGGTTAAGTTGAATAAGTGAAATTCTATATATTGTTTGCCTAATTTAAACCAATACAGATAGATTAGTGTATTAAAGAGAGAGTAACTAATAATGAATTTACGGATTTTTCCTTACGCTGCTGCTTTGACACCCTTAAATTCGGCTGAATTAAAGCGTTCGATGTTTTTTAAAAATTCGGTAACCATAAAAATATGTACACATAGTAAATTGTTTGTTGACGCTTTAAGGAATCCTTTTGAAGCCATTTTTTAGTTTAGCACAAACTATAAATTATTTAAATCCACAAAATAATTAATGAAACACAACCACACAACTAAACACTATGCATAGAACGTAAACAATCCGCCATTTATATGACCAGAGACGTCACAACCAATAGGATTGCGTTTAAGAGATTCATGAATAACTTGAATTTTAGCTGAATTTGTTTATTAAATATTTAACAAAATAGCAATACACAGAGTATAAACTTTTTGTTTTTCGAAAATATCGATTTTGGGCAAAGAAATAAACATTTCGAATGCAAGTTTTTGGACTGCCATCTAACAGCAACTTGAAGGCAACAGAACTAAGTATTGAAATATAAGTTAGCTTTACTGAAATTGCTCCAATTTATTGTGAAAAAACTATGCAAGTTTGAAGTCGCTGACGGCCAAGAAGACGACCTTCAATAACTTGCCCACTTTATTGGCCAATAAATCGGGGAAAACTGCGCGGGATAACACGGACATTAGAACCAGTTTGCGGTTGTTTTGTACTTGAAAAAATGTGTAACCAATACAATAAGAGCGAGTGCGTTAATTCCCCAAAACCGAAAATAATTGTAATTATGTAAGGGGCAAGTTGCAGTAAAACCCACTAAGAAGTCACTGGTAGGTGGAAATACTGCAGGCAATGGCCGTCATTCAGATTCCGTATCTCGCTTAGACATCTTTACAACACAATTTAGCAAAGCTGCATCGTGACATTTAAATTAAACATTATAAATGGTTCAATTAAATCTCATTTGACATCGACCGGTCGGTTGATTTTCCTTATTGGGGCTCGCGCAAACATAACTGTTTTAATTGCGGCCAACAGCAATTTTGCGAAGCCTTCTTCGGACGCGCGACCTGCGATTTGCAGGCGGCTTTTTATCTTCGAAATTAAAACAAAAATTCGACTTACTTTGCAGCTGATTGGATACGCGACTAATGGGCCCCAAGAGGGACCGGGAGTTGTGCCTCAACAATTGAGCGAAATCCTTCCTGCCCTGCTCCTTCAGCAGCAATTCCGTCGCACTATCACAACAATGTCCGCCGCAAACTTCGCCTGAAACAAACGAGATTTATCTATAAGTCGCTATTTCAAGTACACGTTCAGAGGAATAGCAAGAGTTCAGTCATTTTCTGCATGTTTCCTAACTAGAAGCCCCTTGGTAACTAACTGGGGGCTCAATTGAGCAATCGAGAGGACAACAATTGCCAATCTGGTTCTGCAACGTTAGTTGATCGAGAACTAATTGGCAGCTGCAAATTGATGACTGGGTGACAATAAATCTGAGACTTTCAGTCCGGAGTTGAGAACTGAATGCTGAATGCTGCAAGTTCCAGTGGAAGTTCTCGTCCTTTTATCTAGTAAACTATTGATTTTGCAGCATAGATTTCGCCATTTCTGGCCCAACATAGTCGTTAAACAAGCCGGCATAACTCATTGGCTTATACTAAATTACCGGCTGTCTTAAATGGTAAATATTGCTAGTCCACACCTAGGATACCCGTTATTATACCACAAATCACCCATGTAGTTAGTTGAAATATTGTCAGGTCAATTTGAGAAAACATTGCCCGATTTGCGACTATCAGCCACTTCTTTTCAACGTTCTTAGATAGGCCAAGATCAGATGGGTAGCAAGATAAGGCTGATAAATAACTCAAATGGACGATTACCCTGGTAATAAAGTACAGTTTAAATAGGTAATTACGCGAAATTGATACATTATTTATGGAAATTGGGTTCCAGCAATTTCACAGACATCGTGATCTCTGTCAATAATTATTCATCAGCTCGATTTATCCATTCATTATTCAATAGGTTGTAACTAGTTGGTCGCATCCAAATCAGCAAAAACTAATTGCACATTCGAATAATTCATATATTGTAATGGTTTCGGATTTGGATCAGGGATAGATTTGGATAATCACTACTTAACAATCTAGGCAATTAACGCAACAAAAAAATTCTCTAAGTTGTAGATAAGTTCTATATTGTTGAGGCGGATTCATTTTTTAACAAACTTCTTTTTGGGTATTTCGCCTCAAAAATTTTTGTCTTTAAAAAAGACAGAATCTCCTAAATTAAATAAAATCAAACTCAAAAACGAAATACATGACATAAAACAAGACTTACGATACAAAATTTCTTTTGCCGACTTTAATCATATATGTAATTCCGTTAATAAAACCTACGAAAGAAAATTTATTATTCAAAAACAAATTCATAACCATAAACTAGAAAAATTACTCAACGAAAAAAATCAAAAGTAGTTTTAGTATAAAAAAATAAACAAATTCTGGACAAAACAATTATAAATTTATCTAATAAATCATTAACTGAAACCGAAAAACTCGTTCCTTCTAAAGGTTTAAATTTTTCAATTACACCAAAAACCGTTCCAAAACTTGATTTTATTTCGAGTATAGAAGAAACAACTCAAAATTTACCTGAAGAA